CACACACACAACACACACACACACACGCGCACACACACACACGCGCACACACACACACGCGCACACACAGACACACGCACACACACACACACACACACACACACACACACACACACACACACACAAACAAACACACACACACTCAAAAACACGCACACACGCACGCACGTGCACACACACGCACACACACAACACACACACACAATACACACACACAGGGACGGCGGTGACGCCCTGTACGTCAACTCGGCCGCCCTGGTGCTGCCCGACCAAGAGTACTCCGCACTCCAGGCCCTCGCACAAGGCGCCGCAAACTTTGACCTCCGCCCCAGAGGTGCGGCGCCCGCGCACTCGCTCGCGACGCGACGCGACGTGTCCCGCAGTGCCCTGCGCGTGCTTTGCTGCGCCCACGGCCCCCCCAAAAAAATTTCGGGTCGCCCGGGCCTCACACGACCTCCCTGGGCGGCTGCCTCTCCACCGCCGGCCGTTGGGCAGGCTCCACACAGCAGCTGCGCCTGTCCAACGTGTCGCTGCAGCCTGACGCTGGTTCGATCCTGGTGGGGGCCGCCTGGGGTTTCAACATGCGGTGGTTCAATGTGACCCTCGCCCCGGCCGACCGCCTGGCCCCGGCCGGCGCGCCCCCGCCCGCCGACGACACGTGCTCGTGGCTTCCGGCAACGGCACGCGCCGGCGTGTTTGGCGCGGCGCCCTTTGAGGCGCCCGCGGCCGGCGGCAGCGGCGGCGGCGGCGGCGCAGCGCGGGCGCTTGCCATCGCACTGCCGCTTGCGCTAGGCGTGCCCGCGCTCGCGGCGGCGGCGTGGGCGCTCGCGGCACGCGGGCGGCGGCGCGGGCGGCCGGCTTGCTGGAGCGGGGCGGGCACCCTCCTGCGGGGCCGTGGCGGCAAGGCGCTGCCATTCTCAGCGGGCGCGGCACGCGGGGCGGCCGCGCAGGATCAGCGGGGCCAGCAGCAGCAGCGGCGCCCAGGCGGGCCCCCAAACGCCGCATTCGAGGTTGTCGTCGGGCGCCCTGGCGGCGCCGAAACGGACGCCAAGGACCCCGCACGCAGCACGCCTGCGGCTGCGCCGGCCGCCGCGAGCGAGCAGCAGAGCGGCTTCCGGCGCCTGTCGCAGGCGATCGGGGCGCTCTCGATCGACCTGCAGCAGCGGCGGCTGCTCGCGTCCCTCGCGCTGCCCGAGGAGGGCGGCGCCGGCGCTGGCGGCGGCGTGAGCCCGCCGGCGAGCTGCGACCTGGAGGCGCCGCCGCAAGACCACGCGGGTAGCAGCCAGCCGCGCGTCAGCCGGGATTCGCACCTCAGTAGCGCCCCCAGCGCCGCCGCGGCCGCCGCAGCCGCGGCCGCCGCCGCCGCCGGCGACCAGGGGGTGCTGGGCGCCCTGGGGCAGGGCCCCGCGGCGCCGCCGGCGCTGCAGCTGCACGAGCTGCTGGGCCGCGGCACGTTTGGCCAGGTGTGGCGCGCGACGTGGCGCGGCAGCGTGGCGGCGGTCAAGGTGATGACGCTGCCGCTGAGCGGGAACGAGGGGGATCTCGACGGCGGCGGCGACGACTCCGGCGGCGAGGGCGGCGGCAGGCGCGCCAGCCCGCTCGAGCATATGGCAGTCAAGGAGGCGGCGATCAGCGCGAGCGTCAGCCACCCAAACATTGTGCAGGTGAGGGTCCTCGCTCCGCAGCGCCCGCCGCGGGGCGCGCGGTCGTCCGGCGCGGCCGTGGCGCCGACGGCCCGGCCGCGGTTGGTGGGGTACCGCCTGTTCGCCTTCCAGCAGGGGGGGAAGGGTGGGCCTTGCCCTGCTGTCGCGCGACTCTTCGAGATCTCGGCATGCACGCACAGCTGCAATTGTCTCAATCATTAAATGCATCGAACCCCGCCGCACCCAGGTGTTCACATACATGCTCAAGCCCGTGACAGTAGACGACATCGAGTATGCCGGCGAGCGCGGCCACCGGCCGTCCACCGCCGCGCCGCCCGCCTCGCCGCTGCCGCCGCCGCCGCCGCCGACGCCCCACCCACAGCTGGGCGGCCAGAGCCTCGCCCGCGACTCGGTGGGCGCGGCGGCGGTGGCGGCCTGGGACCTGCGGCTGGTCATGGAGTACTGCGAGCTGGTGGGTGGGCGGGGCGCGTCACCCGGGTGATGGGTGACGGATGACGGGTGACGCCCCCGATGGCACTTTTGCGGGTGACTCGGCACGGCCATGACTGTCGGGCTTTGCCTCGGCGACCCCGACTCCTGTGCTGCCACATGGGCTCGCTGTCGCTTTCAAGAATGCATCACTCATTTTCAGCCATGTGTTCTGAAACGTTCGAGCCTCTCCACCTCACCCTCTTCCGCAACAGGGGTCCCTGCGCGCCGCCCTGGACTCTGGTCTGCTGCGCAACCCGGCCACGGGCGCCACGCACCTGGGGGTGGCCGTGGGGGTGGCCCACCACGTCGCGTGCGCCATGCTGCACCTCCACTCAGACGGCATCCTGCACGGGGACCTCAAGGTGGGGTCGTGCGGTGATCTGAGATCCGAAGCGATCTGAGATCTGGAGCCACCCCAGATCTGGCCCCGTCTGACGGGCCTGCCGCTAGGACGGGTTGGAGCTTGACTGCTCTGACAGGAAAGCACAGGCGGGATATCACATTCCCGCGGCGTCCTGATTCCGTGCATAGGCCCTCCCAATGCCGACTGCCTCCATTCGCCTTTGATCTCGCCGCGCGCCCCATCACCAGGCCAACAACGTGCTGCTGCGCGCCGGCCCCAGCGGCGTCCACGTCCCGCTCCCGCACCTGCCGCCGCCGCCCTCGCCCTCGCCGATCGCCAGCGGCCCCACCGGCGGCAGCACGGGGTCCCGCGGGCGCTCCGACCACCTCACAGCCGAGCAGCGGCTGAGGGCGGCGATGGGCGCCGGCGGCGGCATAGTGGCCAAGGTCGGTCGGGCCCTCTCCACGCGCGGGGAGCGCCCGCGAGCTGCGCGCCGGCGCGCCGCCCGCGGCCTCGCGGGCGCGGCCGCCGCAGCTTGGTCCGTATATTGCACGCGACGGCGCGGTCCGGTCCGCCTTGCAGCAGGACGCGCCCGCCCGGCCCTCTTTCTTCTTGGTCTGTCTCATCATGCAAACCCCCTGCTCCACCCGCCTCGCCTCGCGGTTGGGTCCGCAGGTGGCGGACTTTGGCCTCAGCCATTCACTCAGCCCTGCAGACACGCACATCAGCGACATGCACGCCGGCACCCTCACACACATGAGCCCAGAGCTCCTCGGTGAGCTCACGTCCCTGGCCCGGCCCGGCCCGGCAGGCAGCGCGCGCGCGCATGCATGGGTGAACGGTTCGGGTGCCTGCACGCCGCCGCGCCGCTGCCGCGGCCGCTGCTGTTGCGGCGGCTTTCGGCCTGCTGCATGTGCACCGTGGGGCCCAACGCCCTCTCTCCTCGCCACTATATGTGCCCCCCCCCCCCACACGGACATGCATGCATGCACGCGCACACGCACGCGCACATGCACACGCGCACACACGCACACGCGCGCGCGCACACACACACACACACACACACACACACACACACACACACACATACACACACAGTCCATGGGCGCGCCTCCAAAGCCTCCGACGTCTACGCCTACGGTGAGGGACCCCCGCCGCCGGCCGCCTGCCTGCAAGCATCAGCCGCGTGCTCAGGCCTGCAGCTCTCCGCCACCGACAGCCTGCCGGCACTCGTTTGCGACGCAGCCCTGCCTGCGCGGGCGCGCGGCCTGGGGAGGTCCGTTCCCTCTTTCTGCGCATGCGCGCGTGCGCGCACGCACGCCAATCACCCCTCCCCTTGACCCATCCTCTTCCCATCGGCCTCATGCCCCTCGTACCGCCCGCTGCACCGCCGGCCCCCTTCCCCCGTCGAAGGCATTATGTTGTGGGAGCTGGCCACTGGCGGCAAGGCCTTTGCGGGCATGCCCCGCGCACTCATCGGCCATCAGGTGGGAGGGAGGGTTGGAGGTTGGGGTCAGGGGTGGCGTTGAGGGGTTGGGCGGTCGGGCGGCGCTGCTGAGATCCGCCAAACTCCTTTTGAATCCCGTGTTTGAGCAGGTTACCAAAGAGGGGGAGGGGATGCGTGCCGAGTTGGGGTGGGATGCGGCACCTGGCTTGCACCCTGATAGGCAGCGGCGGGGCCCTCGCAGCGACGGCGGTCCTCCAGCTGGCGGTGACCGCTCGGCTGCCAGCATCGCCGGCCGGCCGCGCGCCGAGGGCTTGCGGCCCTCCCAGGGGCCGGGCCCTGGCAGGGGGGGGGGGGGCAGGGCCGAGTGCGTCTTCGCACTTCAGCTCGGCGGCGGCCGCGTCGGCTCCGGCCCCCATGCCACCCCAGCAGCCGGCGCCCACACCCACAACCTTAGTGTCCCCAACTCCATTGCGGTGCCGCACGCTTTGACTCGATTCGGAACAGGTTACCGCGAAGCGAAAGCGCCCCGCGTGGCCGGCCGCGCTGCGCCCCTCGTCTTCGCCCTTTGGCATCGTTTCGCTGGACGGCGCAGGCCCCGAGACGCGCGTGCGGCGCGGCTTCATAGAGCTGGCAGAGCGCTGCTGGGCGCACGACCCCCGGTACAGGTGGGCAGGAGGGCGGCCGCGGCGGTGCCTGCGTGCGGCCAGGGGGGGGGCTGTGGGGTCGCGTTGCCGGGCCGTGGTCGCAGGTTTGTGTTGTGCGCTCCTGCAGCTGGTCAGGTGTGCACTGGCACGCGGGTGTCGTGGTCAAGGCGTGCACGCATGTCTTTGTTGCATACGCACACTCTTGCACGCGCGTTTTGATAGACTGGGTCGGGAGTCCAAAACATGGGCGCCCGGGGCTCCCACATTGGGCGGGTGGAGGGCGGCCGTGAGGGCCGGCGGATCGAGGGCATGCGCTGTCGCCGGCTGCAGGGAGGCGGGGGCGCGAGGCGGGGGCCCTGCCTTTGGCTGACCAGCCCCTACTGCGTCTCTCGCTGCCCCTTCATCTGCCCGCCGTCCAGGCCGGACTTTGGGGAGGTGGTCACAGCTCTGGCCGGCATGCTGCGCCTGCTGGAGCTGGTCCCCCCGCCGCCGCCACCCCAGCC